CCGGAGGGTCCTCACTTAGACCGGACCGGAGGGTCCAACGAGTAGTGAGACCGGAAGGTTCTCACTTAGACCGGACCGCAGGGTCCAACGAGCTGTGGGACTGGAGGGTCCCACTGAGACACATTGACCGGAGGGTCTTCCAGAGCTATAGCCTCGAGTGGCTAATTATTTGTGCATGGTATTTTGGGGAACTCACTAAGCTTCGTGCTTACCGTGTTATGTGTTATGTGTTTCAGGTTTTCCCAGGATCGCAGGAAGGCACCGGCTTGATTGTACACACCAGTGAAAGAGTTATGTTTTGAAGATCCTGGATTTTAACGAAACAACTATGGATTTTTGAATTGTAAACTTTATAAATGAGATTCTTGTGAAACACGATATGAGAATTAAGTGATTTTAAATGAAAATTTTGTTTTGAAAAATTTACGGTGTTACATATGATACTATAGTCAATTAATTTATATTGTTTTTCACTTTGCATGTTTTACTTCCTTGAGTAATTTTTTAATATTATTTATAATTGCACGGTCGTTCACACTTTTGGAAGTAAGTAGTGAATTAAGACTATCATGAATTGATTGTAGCTTGTCGATTGAGGTTAAGACATTGCAATTGGAACTGGTACAATATTCATGAGTACTTTGAAAATAGAGATTTTATGTATTGGATAAACCTACATTTAGAGATTACTTCATGGATTCAATCACAAGTAATTCTAACAAATATATAATAGTTTACAGATCAGTTATGCATTGGTTTGCTTAAACGCATCTCGTAACTAGATGTTATAAAGGGTTATTCCATGTGTGATTTGATATATAAATTGTATGACTATATAGTCGAAGTAATTTGTTCCTATTGCCCTAACAGGAAAAGTGATATCCTTAGGCCCTAGATGATTTGAGTTGATCTATAAGAACTAGGCCTGGTCCGGACTAAATTGATATGTTCAATTTTGTTGTATGAATTTGATCACAAATCAGGAAAAAGGGAAACAAAGAAATGAACATGAGGTTGATCATTTAATCCATGACTTTTTTCATACGATATCTTGTAGAACGAATGAATAATTGATCACTTATCTTAGGGCCAACGTTCGATTGGAATCAAAGTTCAATAGTGTCTTTAGAAGCACTCTTTGTTATTTACTTCAATGTCTATACTTGCAATTGTAGTTACAGACTTATCCAAGTGGGAAATATTTGGATTAAGGTGTCTAAGTCGGTAACTAAATTGGTATATTCTTATAATTAGAAGCAAAGTCTTTATTGGGTTACTCTAATAACTAGAACTTGGTTAGAATGACATTTTAAGAGAGAGGACAATTTATTAGATTATAATATGATTAATAAACTACTTGGAAATTATGAAGAAATGATATGTTAATATATTACGTGATTAATATATTAATTGGAAATAGATAATTGTTATGTTAATTTATTATGTGGTTAATAAATTAATATATGATCAATGTTAAATAATTTATTTGTTAATTTATATAATTAATAAATTAATATTAAATCAATTAGAAATGATTAATTATTAATCATAATTAATCTGGAATTAAATGGAATTAATTAAAGGTGCAATGGGTGAATTGTAATTGTTCAATAGTTGATTAAAAGAAGCAATTCTAGAACCATCCAAGGAATGACAGTTTTGCTAGCCTCCTTAGGGATTCATGAAGCCTATTGGATGCATATAAGGAAATGATTTGGATTGGGATTAAATCCATTCAAATCTTGTTTTGTCCCTAAGTTACATCAACTATAAATAGGACCATTTAGGCTAGGATTTTCGTGGTTTTTCTTTTCTAGAAGTATATGAACGAAATTTCCTTCTCATCCTCTCTCCTTAGGTGTCTTCTAGTTCTACGGTTTGGGGTGTGATCCATTAGAGGCATCATCGTGGTGCTAGCTTTCCAAGCTCTTCAAGTGAAGGATTAAAGTGATTTGTTTACTTCAACAAATCAAAGGTATGTAACCCAAATTCTTTTGTTTTGTATATATTAGGGTTTCAATTAGGGTTCATTTTAGTTTTGTTGTTTATAGTATGTTACATTCAAAGTGTATGACATAGATCCTTTAGGTTGACTCTGCCCGTAAGTGTTGAGTGAAATTCCTCAAGCACATTAGTTTTGTAACTTATAAAACCCATCAGTATGAAGTTGTGTGGTGAACTTATAAGGTGTATATACACATTGTGTTTTAATGAACGAAAGGAAAGATACAGACAAAGGAGTTGTACGCCTGGAATATCATTCAGATCGACATTAAGAAGGTGACTAATCTTACTCCTTCATGTTCTTTTTGAAGTATCTTATTGATGCATTACGTTATGTTCATATTTACCTATTATGAGTTGAGAATTAAATTAAGTACGTTCAATAAAAGAGGATAATTTATTTTGATGAAACATTGTAAGGGGTCGTTTGATAGTGGCTAACTGGGTTAGAGTTGATTGGGTTAGAAGCTGACTAGGTTAGAAGTTCTGACTGAGTTAACTTCTGACTGAAACTTGTTGTTTTATTTTACATCTGACCAACTATACAAAATGACTATATTACCCTCAAAACATTTTTTATAATAATTCCTTTATGATTTATCATTTAATTTATGCATTGTAGTTTTACCTAACACAGAAATATATAAAGCAGCAACATCAATATCCAAACACCATGTGAATTCATGGACAAATTGGACAATTGTTAACCATTCAAGCATCCAATAAAAAAAATAACTGCTTTGGTTATTTGGATATAAATTCTTGAATACTTTCAGGGACAACTTGGATAATTGCTAACCATTCAAAGAGCCAATTAATTTTTATGACAAGTGCAAGTGTTCTTCCATCTTCAATTATCCCTTCCAGCAAAAAATCACTATGTGTTGATCTGGAGGGATCCCTTCTTTGTCCTTCAAAATTCAATTACTAATTAAACCACAAAACTAAAATAGGAGATCAAATCACATATATACAAAAGAGAAAGACAAACCACAGTCCACATAGCAAATAGATTCAGAACACCAAGTTCAATACAAATATCACACAATTACTCTCTGTGTATAACATGATTTACAATAAAATATATATCAATGATTATGAGCAAAAAAAAATGGTGAAAAACTGAGATTTATCTACAAATCATTCATCAATAATGAAGTTAAATAAGAAAACAAAGATATATCAATGATTTAACAACTCAACAATCGAAAACATTTGAAATTAGGAACCAAATAAGAAAGCACATATATCTCAAATCAAATTACCGAACAACAACATAAAAAAGCCTAAAAAATCGACAATCAATAGTCATTTTTCACCTGATTCATTGAAAAAGAAGAAGAAGAAAATGTATCCAATGCGAAGAAGAAAGTGAAAATTGCAGGAAAAACGTTCCCCAAGCAGAAATTACAGAACTCACGAAACCTCTACCAAAATCAATCTTTGTTTCCTCTTGCTCTGGAATGATCGGTGGATCTGATTTTCCAGTGTCTAAGATCGGAAGTTGAGGGAGAAGAAGGGTGCCAGAGAGCTAAACTGAACACAATTGTTACCTTCACTTTCTCTTCGGAATCGGATGATTTGGGAAAATCGGGAGACGACTGCATGATCAATTGAAGGAGACGAGGGCAAGGCATGTCTTTGGGAACGACTGAAAGCCAAAACTCAGTCATGAGGTTTTGAGATGAGGACCGAATTCTCAATTTTTTTTGGACTGAGTCCCTTCTTTGGACCAAGTCCGACGGTGAAAAAGCCAACTCAAACACACCAACTTCGACTGAGGACCGAGTCCCTCCTTTTGACTAGGTTAGAATCGATTTCAAACAGCCCCTAAGCCTTATTCGGTGTTATAATAATATAATCATTTGGTGATAAATGATAATGGATTAGTAGTTTTCAGATGGTGTATGAGATGTTTACTATTTGGGGAAATTACATTATATTCTTATAGATGAAGTGGAAAATAGTTTTGATGAAAGTGTATTCCAAATTTTAAAGTATTAACCACTAAGCTTTATTGGTTACATTTGTTTATAAAGTGTGTGTCACAGAATTAAAAGTGATGATCAATGAAAAAGATAAAATATTTTGGAATGGATATCATGTTTGAATATTAGTTTGTACTTTATTTTAAAGAAGTCGTGTAAATCTTGTGGATCTTATGTACTATTTTTTTAATATGTAAAATCTTTTGTTAGTTATACGATGGTTGCTAGGAAATTATATTATGATGTTTAATAAAACGAAAAATGTTTGATACATTTTAGTCTTGAAATACAGGTTGTAAAACACCCACCACCAACACCGGCTACTAGATAAAACCACCTACCACCTACAACCCACCATCCACCGATACTAAAAAATCTTTCGGGCGTCATCAAATAATATTATAAAATGCAAAATAAAAGAAATTTTAAAAAAATATTTGTTTCGTTACTTTTTTTTTCCAAAAAAATTATATAAAAATTTTACCATTTTTCAGCATTATGTGTAATATTCTAGCAAAATATTATTCGTATGTTTAGGTTTATGTATATATGTGTATGAACGAAAATATGACTTTATAAACTTTTTAGATTTTTTTTAAAATATTATAATAGAATATTATACGTATAATTACTTGAAAAAAATTTTGGTCAGAATATTTTCCTGTGACGTTGATTTTTAAATATTTTTTTATATTAATTTTTTTTTTGGAAAATACAAATGATGAAAATTTATTAAAAAATTGTCAATTTTTTATTATTCTAATTATTTTTTTACTTTTTGATCTTCAAAATAAATAACTAGGAGTACGTCACATGACTTATAAAAAACTCGTAGTCTCAAATCAATCTTCGATAAAACTGCATTTTTATGATATGCATTTTTTTTTGGTTTTCGTTAAAACCTTGACTTTTTTGGCTTCGCGGTCCTTTTGAGTTAGTTGCATTACGGGTTTGTTTCATGACTGTAATACAACTCGAGTATTTATTTTCTAATTTTCTTTTATTTTTTTTTAATATAATACTTATGTATTTATTTAAATAATTAAAAAATAACAGGCCCCAACTTTTCTCTATCTCTCTCAACACACATGTTTACACAAATTTAAATACAAAAGAAAAGAAAAAAACTCTACGAAGGCTCACACCATTAATGAATTTCTGAATTTGCTGAAAACCTATGAAAAATGTCCAAAGCTTGTAGAAATCCTCTGAAAATGCTTGTTGTAAGTATCCACACTTTGCTAACCATGATACAGTTCCTGGTTCACCTCGAAATTGACTTCAGGTCTCAATCGACGCTTTCCCAATTAAAACTGGAGCTTAGAGAAATTGATCATTCCATATGATGTAATCTTGTTCACCCTCTACACCATTAATTTGATTTTGATTTTTGTTGCAATCTGTAGTGTCAACTCCCATACCAAACGTTGTTAAGGAAGAACCCACCGTTGCTTCCATTATTGCCACTGCCCCAATTACTCTGTTGCTGGAAATTGGCGGTGTTGCGCCGCAGAGCTGAGAGGAGGGGTTGGAAATACCACTTGTGTATTCCGTAATTAGCTCCGACTATGGCTTGGAATCAGTATTGAAGAAAATATCAGTAGATTCCGTCGGTGGTGGTGGTGGTTGCTGTGTATATCTAAAAGGGATGAATCTGGAGAGATGATGGGAATCCGTCTGTTTGGTTGTAGTTTCGTGACTCGTTACAAACATGTTAAAGAGAAACTCATGTCTCACCGGTGGAGGGTTGTCAATTAGAGGGTAATATGACGCCATCACCAACACCGGTGGTTCTATTTTCTCGTCAAGATACGATGACCCCTGTGAGTTCTTCTCGTTGCTCCCAGATGGATCTTTACGATCATCATTGACTACCGTAAGTGGTTTATGAGTGTTTGGATCAATCCCTGGTTGCCTTAACTTCTTCCATAAGTTCTTGATTTCATTATCTGTTCTGCCGGGCAACTGAGCTGCAGAGACCACCTATGATTTTAGAACCCATTAATCAACAAAACTCAAATTCACAAAACAACTATGTGAATTGTAACCACATACTTATTTTGTGTAAATATGTATGTCTTGTGTATGTGTATGTGTGTCTTCCTTACCAGATGGTGCTATCTTTTTATTTTTTAATTATTTAAATAAATAAATAAATATCATATTTCCAAAAATGAAACAAAAAAAGAAAATAAATACCTCAATGATATTACAGTCATTTAGAAATCAAATCCGTAACAAAACTAACTCAAAATGACCACCAAGCCAAAAAAATGATATTTAGACGAATGCCCAGAAAAAAATGCATATCACAAGAACTATTTTTTGCAGTTTTGTCTAAATCTTTACAAATATATTATAGGTTAATTCATATATTATTGGTTAATTGTTTATGAGAAGCAAAACGTATTTAATATCAAAGTTAAGTATTTTAAAATTAACAAAAACTAAAAGTTAAAAATAAATATCAAATATATATACGTGAATTTTAAAAATACTTGCATGAAAAGTGGTGGGGGGGGGGGGGGGGGGGGGGGGGGGGGAGTAGTGAAGAGACCAGCATTCATAGGTTTAGGTTTTGTGTGTGTTTGTTTGTTTACAATTCAAAAACGAAAGAAAATTGAGGGAAAAAGACACTTAAACAACATGTGTGAAGGCTTAGGTAATAAATGCACAACAGACCTTTTATTCCTTTCTCCATCCAAAATAAACCCTTCTCATGGATGGTCTCTCCTTAAACGCCTGGATTATCGGGATCACCGCACAAGGTGACACCCGTACAAATCCATCTCACATTACCACGTCTCGGACATTAGAGAAATCAAATTCTCCTCCTCTTCCTAAAACACGGCCATGGAGTTTTGCTGTGAGATATCCTCTTACATCTTTCTTTTCCGTTGATTGTAACCGGTACGATGCGGTGACTGTTTCGGAAGATGAGAAAGAAGAAAGTGTTAGGAACGAAAAGAATGGCAATTGGGTGTTGAGGGTTTTGCAAGTTAGATCATTCTGGAACACAGATGGCTATGAAAAAGTTAACAATCATGTGCAAAATGACAATGAGCTTTCCATCGATGAAGAGTATTGTGATGCATGCAGGGTTGATGATGATGTCGACGATAAACTCAAATTTGATAGAGGTTCATTTTCAAAAATGCTCTGGTCGGTTTCTTTGGTGGAAGCAAGGTTGTATGCTCAAATGGCTTATTTGGGAAGCTTATCTTACACCATACCAAAAATCAAGGTTGGTTGAAGGTCAAATTTTATTGTTGAATTTCATATTTCTTTCAGAAATCTCTAAGATATTCTGTCATGTGAATAGAGTTAGCTGAAATCATGTCTATTTGTTATATGTACAGCTTGGGAATCTCCTGAAACATCATAGACTTCGATACGTTACGTCTTCAATAGAAAAGAAATCTGAGCTGGCATCCAAATCCAAGAAAGAAAAGGCATCGGAGGACGTCCGACAAGGAGAATACATCAACTTGGAGACCGATGCAAAGGATCAAGTGAAACAGTCTGTTGTAGATGATTTGAACTTGTTATGTTCATCACCTTGTGAATGGTTCATTTGTGATGATGATGATGAAGGTAGCACGAGATACTTCGTCATTCAGGTATCACTACAAAAACATATCAGTTAAAAGATTAATTTGTAGATTATATAAATTTTTTATGGCATGGAATGATGATAAATGGTACATCGGTTCTTGCAGGGCTCTGAATCAATTGCATCATGGCAAGCCAATATACTCTTTGAGCCTGTTCAGTTTGAGGTGAAATCTTTCTTTATAGACAAGTGGTGTATGTATTTAGATAGCTAGATGAAGTTAAGCATCCTTTTTTTTTCAATACAAAATGACTATATATATGATTGATTTAATTAGGCACAAGATGTAATTGTCCATAGAGGTATATATGAGGCAGCAAAAGTGGTTTATGAGCAGTTGTTGCCACATGTCCATCAACACTTTGAACGTCATGGGAAACGTGCAACCATCCGATTGACTGGTCATTCTCTTGGAGGAGGTTTATCGTTGCTTGTAAACCTCATGTTATTAATAAGAGATCAGGTCCCTCGTTCATGTTTACTTCCGGTAATCACGTTTGGAGCACCATGGGTTATGTGTGGTGGAGATCGTTTTCTTCATAAGCTTGGATTACCAAGAAACCATCTCCAGGGAATCACCATGCATCGTGACATCGTACCCCGAGCCTTCTCCTGCAACTATCCCTCTCAGCTAGCTGACATTCTCAAGGCCATAAATGGGAATTTTCGAAATCACCCCTGCCTATCTAACCAGGTATAACTTGTGTTATATATATATATATATATATATATATAATAATATATATATATATATATATATAGTATATATATATATCTAATCATGTTATCTTAATTAAAAATGCATTGGTCGGGTGTCTTGTGACATGCATGCAGAATTTGTTGTACGCTCCAATGGGGGAATTTTTGATCCTGCAGCCGGATGCAAAAGTTTCTCCAAGTCATGAGCTACTCCCAGTAGGATGTGGTTTGTATGTTTTGAGGTGTGAAGGTGCAGGCGATGCAAACAAGCAAACCATGGCTGCACAGTCTGTTTTCTTGAACACACCACACCCTTTAGATATTCTAAGAGACAGGTGTGCATATGGTTCAGAGGGAGGCATTCAGCGAGATCATGACGTGGAAACCTACCTAATATCCATTCGGAGTGTCATCCGTCAAGAGCTTAACCGTGTTAAAAGGAGTAGGAAGCGAGAACATGTTTGGTGGCAGCTTGTAGGGGTGAATCAAAGTGAAGTGCAGTTGTTTTTATATGGTGGAAAAGAGTATTTGAAATGGTTAAGAGTGGCGGTTGCCTCCAATCACATGTATTTGATATGTTTTGTTAGGTGGTTGATCATGGAGGCATGCAGTTGGATCACACCTTAGATAAAGGTCACTTATGCATGCAAGGGGATCCTTATAGTTAATTGAATGTTTAATAAAAACGCGTGTTTAAATATATAAAGGGATGAAACATTCTGGATGTTTCAGTATTATTTTCACTTCAATCCTTCGCATAGTTTTTATCTTCATATGCATCATGACAGGCTTAATTTGTCTTTAATGTAAATGATAATTAAATTTGGATTATCTTAATTATGTAAAAAGAAAACGTTTCCACATAACTTTGGTAGTAAACAAACGAAGCGAGTCTCTAGGTTTGTACGGTAATGGTCCAGGAAGGGATGAATGGAAAGGATATATATATATATATATATATATATATATATATATATAT